GCTGGTAGGTCAACAGGAACGCGTGTGTTGATGGGCATCTAAACCGTGCTTATCGCAAAAATCCCGCATCCTAAAGCGTGCGCTGCGGCGATAGGTCAATGACAAAGTTGGCGACAAGTATTTTTACTGAACAGAGTTTACACTCACGAACGGCTGTACCAATAAAAAAAGTGTAATCAAAACAACACGGTCATAATTTGTTGCGACATTGTATATTAAGTAATTCATGAACAAACATAAACTCAATTTCATGAGCATGCATGGTGTTTGACACACTTGACAACAAGAACTGAGCATGAAACAAAATTGATATGTGGGGTTTAATGTGTTAAAACAAGCATATGATAATGAGAGACGCCGTAGTGGAGAGCTTCGCAAATTTTGACCGCCTGGGGTTTTTTAACGTGCACCCAAGTTTGAGCACACGGGCCTGCAGCAGTTTCGCCTCCATCAAAAATACGGCAGCCGCAGCCGACATTCAATCCCAAGGCCTGCGGGTCTGCAGCCGAATACCTTAGCCACTAGACCATTGTGGCGGGGCAGCATAAAGCAAACAACCGATATTCTCGTTTACAACGGCGTCGTATGTGCCAACAACAAAGCCTCTTTCCCGGTACCACTTTGCCCCGCCACGATGGCCTAGTGACTAAGGTACTCGGCTGCCGACCTGCAGGTCGCGGGATTGAATCCCGGCGACGGAAGCTGCATTTCATTTCCGACTGAGGCGGAAATGCTGTAGGCCCGTGTGCTCACATTTAAGTGCATGTTAGAGAACCCCAGGTTGTCGATATTTCTGGAGCCCTCCACTACGGCGTCGCTCATAATCATATGGTGGTTTTGGAATGACAAACCCCACAAATGAATCAATCAATCATCACTGTACCAGTTTCTCGAAGAAAGGTTCATTCTGGTTACGTCCTCAGTGTTTGCAATTTTCGTCTTTAGTGAGTTTTCAGCCTGCCACGCAAAAAGTTTTCCATCGTGATCCCTGAAATTGTTGCAACCATTCTCGCGCTTGAGCGCTGTAGCCTGTTCACGAAGTCGTTTCAATTCTAAGCACATATGTTCCGAGAATACTGTTCCGTGTAATATTTTCGAATGATAGTAATAATATCTGAGTATTAACGTCTCAACGCCACAATATGTTTATGAGAGATGCCGTAGTGGAGGGCTCCGTAATATAAAACCACTTGGGGTTCTTTAAAGTGCATTAAATATTGTACACGGGCCTCAAACATTCTCGTGTCTATGAAAAATGTAGCCGCCACAGCCCCGATTTGTTCACGCGACCTTACGGTTAGCAGTCAAGCACCTTCTTCACTAGACCACCATCGTGTGGCCAGGAGTATTCTGTTCTTAGGTCATTCACCTGCCGCGCAAATTTAAGGCACTGCACATTTAATTCAGCATTTGAGGTCCTCAGGGCTTGGTTCTTTATTGCAATTTCTTCATTCTCTCAGTTTTCCGTAGCCAAAAGTTTTTAATATCCCTTAGTTCTTTGCGAAAGGCTCGCTCGATTGTTACCTTGAAATATTTGATCTCCGCGCCATGTTCATAGTTCAGCGTGCCAAAACGTGCTCCGATATTCTTCGACATCCACTCAACAAACAGCTATGGGGAAAATATAACATGAAACAAAGAACAGCTATGTCAGCAATGGAAGGAGCTATGAGAGCAGCAGAAAGACCGGTTTTCAGCCCGCGTAAAATTCTGTTAGCACACGAGATTCCAGTTGCCACCCTTGCTGCTAAGTGTTTTGCACTTCCTTATAGCTAGTTTAAAAAAAGAAGAATAACTCAGATAACTGCGTTCAGATTAATAACGAGAACGTTTACTGAGTTCTTCTTAATGATTCATTTCAGTGTATCTTTAGGTGCTGCAAATATTATTGGCCTGTACAATTCATGCATAAAAAAGATTGGCGCCAGCAACAGCTGATTGGTAGGTAGCAATCTTACAAAAATTGTTTTTACCTAATTGAAAAAAAAGTCCTGCATAAGGGTATTGAAGAGAGGACCACTTGCACTTCCATTAACCATCAGAATTCAACGCCACCACGGTTGTAATTGGGTGGACTCGAAAAGGAACCAGAACCCAAGTTAAACGTTGCCAAAGTAGCCAAGCCGTGCGATTGCATAGCTCATTTTGTACACAGATGGTCCAAAAGCAGCCTCATGAAAAAAGTTAGTCTTATATAACCACGAATAATATCATTTTCAAACAGCAATGAAATAGAAACTCGAGCATAGTTCCTTTTCCTCTTCCCCTATCTCAAACCAATAGAAACCAATAGAAAATGTTCAGAGCCCCCGCATATCGCTCATGTAGAAATATCATGATCGAGTAATTGCCAGGGACAGAGAAAAACAAGCAGGCCTGCACGGAAGGTGCAGTACGGTTAGGGTGGCCCAGGAAGGTGCAGTACGGTTAGGGCGGTTAGGATTGGCGCAGTACGGTTAGGGTACTAGCCACACTAGTACGGTCACAACTAAAGCTGGACGAGCTGCCTTTCAGAGACTCTTTCAGGGCGAAGCTCCAAAATATTTGGGCCTGTACATGCTTGTCTCTTGTGTCACTAGTTTGCGAGGTTCCAAGGGCTATAGGTCAAAGGTCACCGCAGCACCACCACCCCCTCATTATGTATATATATGTACTGCAGCCCTTGCGCCCTCAGTGACAAGGACACTAGTAGTCTTCCCCTCCCCCTTTCCCCTGCGCCTGTCATCGTCCCTTGCACACGCCTACGGCCGTTACCCTCGATATCGACGCCTCTTAGTTAACCATGAAGCTGCTTAATGGATTGAATTTGCTTCATTTGCTGAAAACAAATCCCTGTGGAAGGCAAAGAATATTACAGGCTAAAAAGTCTGACAAGCTAAGCGTTCACTTCTTCGGCAATTTCCCAATTCGCCTTCCGAAAATCTGTCAAGACGGTTCGCATTACAGGCTATCTAATTACACCGTAATGTTTAAAAAATGCAGTTATGTTTTTTGGGGGGTAAACCAGGTACCATTAAAATAACTTGCAACCTGCAGAACACACCACATTTGGACTCTGTAAAATATTTGAGAATAATTCATAACCATCTCTTCTGACATGCCCCCGTTAAATACACAACTATATATACATAGCTTAAACATACATTGATTGAATACATAAACATACACTACAAATACATACATACATACATACATACATACATACATACATACATACATACATACATACATACATACATACATACATACATACATACATACATACATCATACATACGTACATACATACATACATACATACATACATACATACATACATGGAAGTACGCGCGCTGGGAGCCCTACAAAAGGCTGTGCAAAGGTCGATCGGGGATGCATGATCGGCACACTTATTTTGGTTTACAAAACGTATGTACGCCCCATATCAGAATTCGAATAAGTTTTATATTCTCAAGCACCGTCTTATAAACTGTGTCCTCTTGTATATATACTCTTAAATAGAGAGGCCCTAAGGCTTTGATTACCGATATTCATATAGCCGATGGTGTGCTCTATTTAGAAGCACAGTCGCCCTCTCTTGGCTGGTTGAGGATACTAAGAGTACAAGCATTCCTAAAGATTATCAATATACGACAAACTTGCAAACAATTTTTATGTATCAGCGAGGCTTATTTTTTCTATATTATTGGCCTCAGTTTTATACACCGCAGCTGAGCTACGTACAAGCACTTGTTCAACCAGCCAATGTTAAAGTGAATGAAGTTCCTTGCAATGGTCATGAAAGACAGTACCTCTTACTCATTTTGGCTATATATATTCCAATCATTCGAAAAAGTTGCCTTACCGGAGTCTACGTGGGGCTCAGCCAGATGCGGGACCCTGACGCGTTCCGCAGAATAAAAATAGTTATTTTCCTTCGTTCCTCCCTTACCAGGTGTTGAACAAGCTTTTAGAGGGGCATTCAAAGGGGACAATCTTAAGAAATATAATAAGGTGCGTCACAATCTGAGGAAGAATCCAGCATGGGTATTATCTTGAGGTCTTAAATCAGTCAATTTTTTTACAGCATTTCCCAATTTCTTATCGTGATTTCTGGCGGAAATTCTGGCGGTTGTATTGAAATTAAGAAAGCTCCCCTTCGACCTCAAATATGGCCATTTATAGTTACAGATTCTTTATTTTTGTGCTCAGCATAGTCCTCAAAAAGCGACTCTCATTTATCACGATGTTTTCATTTTATGGTCCCTATCCACGTAACTGTAACCAGATTTTTCTGGGTACCAGACCACAAAGGGATAAAAAACAATTAAATCGCACACGCTCTGGCGAAAGCAACTCTCTGTGTTCCGAAATTTTCAATTTCCAACAACAACTCTAATAAATCCTGACAGATTTAGAAGGCGTGCGAAAATGCAAGACACTAAAAAACATCAATCGCTCATATAAACGAGTATCGACACCTCATGTTTCCTTAGAGTAAGAGTTTCTGTTCAACACAACAAACGCCAGTTATTTTTAAAAGATCTCACTGTCGCTTTCAAAAATTAAAGTATTATATTCCCAGAGGTGGTCTGGCTCCGTCCCCACGTTGCTCGTTTTACTACGATGGGAAAAGAATCCAGCGCAATTTCTTATCCTGACACCGCTTCAATTTTGGATGAGAAAATTTTCCAAAACGGTGTTGAATTGCATTATATTGAAAGTAAAGTTTTAAGTATTCAATCCTTGGGAGCATTAGGTCATTGTAGATCTCCGTTCTGCGGTACAGAAATATTTAAATGAATCAGGGTGGCTTTCATCTTCATTAGCACATTATTTATTCTAAGTATTGTGTATAATTAGTCATACAAATATTATGTGATAACTTTAATTATGAATAACTCCTTTCTTGGTCAATCCCTCATAGTGGGTGGGAGCCATTGTATAGTATCATCATCTGCGCAAACGGCCACCAGAATGCAGCGACGTCCGCTCACAGCCGAGGGCGCCCCTTATTCTACTATGGACGAAGCTCGGCGAAGTGCAGCTACGTGCAATTTCGAGACCGCGTCGGCCCAGCCCAAGCAGCCGTCGGGGCAGTGTCTGCTGAGACTGACCCATGACCTCAAGAACATCATTGAGAACCCTGTGCCAGGTATCTTCGTCGAGCCCGAAAAAGGCGACATCACCTACGTCCACGCCGTCATCGTGGTACCCGACAACACGCCGTGCCAGGGAGGCTTGTTCCATTTTGTGCTGAAGTTCCCCCTCAACTACCCAGACTGTCCACCGCGGGTACGCTTCATGACGACCGACGGCGGAAGGGTGCGCTTTCAACAGGAAACTGCTACAGCAGTGGGCTCGTCTCCCTCAGCATTCCGGGCACGTTTCACGGACCCTCGTCGAACCCAGAGATGACCCTGAAGACGGTGGTGGTTTCGATCCAGTCGTCGCTCATCGAGCAGCCATTGGCCGACGAACCTGCACTGGGACGGGAGTTGGAAACTTGGCTCGAAAAGACGGTTGGTTGCAACGCAAAACTGCGCTCCCAGACCATCAGGGTTGCGATTTGCGACGCACTCGAGGCTTGCCTCCTCGGCAACTCGTTGTACCCGCAGGACCTGCAGACGGCAGTGATGAAGCACTTCGTACAAGATTATGACAAGTACGAAAATGTAGCCTTCTCTCTTCTTGGTGAAGACTCAAGCAAGGAGGAATCTCAGCAGTACGCAGCGCTACTCGAGAGACTGCAGGACTTGTATGATCGAATACTGCAAAACAGCCCAACGATGAGAAAAATCTGTCAAAGCGACTACAAGGGCATCATGAACTTTTAAGACGCATGGAGACTTTTTTTGGAGCCTAAAAAGAGTTGGCAAACCTTTAATAAACCAGTGGCGTAGCCAGAAAATATTTTCGTGGGATGTGGTCACACCGACCCGACCGGGGAGAGGAGGGTGGAGCATGCTGAAGTCTGAACCTTCTCCCTCCTACACTCCGGGTCTCTGGGACGTGACTATCACTGGTATCACCAGCATTTAAAGTGGGCATTTTGGCGGTTATATTCGCATAAAAAAAGCTTCCCGTCAACATCGAATATGGCCATATATAGTTACAGATTTTTAACCCTGTGCTCAGCCCACGCTCCAAAAAGTGACTCTCAATTATCACGTAGTTTTCTTTATCTGGTCCCTATTCACTCAACTGTAATCGGATTATCCGCGGGGTACTAGGCCACAAAGAGATAAAAATGAATGAAATCACGCACACACTGCCGAAAGCGACTCTCTGTGGTCGGATATTCTAAATTAACCGGCAACAGCTCTCATAGTTCGTAACAGATTTAAAAGGCGTGTCATAATGTGAGACACTAGGAAAACAATTATCGCTCGTCTAAACGAGTATTGACACCTCTTGTTCCTTGGCGTAGGAGTTTCTGTTCAACATGACAAGAGTCAGTTATTTTTACAAGATTGCACGGTCCTTTTCGAAAATAAACTATTATATGCACAGAGCTGGTCTGGCTCTTTCCCCTCGTTGTTCGATTTATAACGTTGGGAAAAGGATCGAGTACCACTTCTTATCTTGCAACCACTTCAGTTCTTTTGATCAGAAATGTGTTAAAAATGGTGTTCAATCGCATTAGATCGGATTTCATAGTTTCAAATAATCTATCTTTGGGAGTATTAGGTCTTTTTCACTGGTATTTTTGTTAGGCGGTAAAATTGTTTTAAAGGAGTCAGGGTGGTTTTGATCTAAACTAGCATCATTAATTTATTCTGACTATTCTGTAACTATTAGTCATACAATTTTTATGTGATCACTCTTATAAATAATTAATTTCTTGGCCAATTCCTCAGAGTGGGTGTGAGCAATTTGTATAGGTGATAATAATAATCATGATCTTCGCAAACGGCCAGCAGTGCAACGACGTCAGCTCGCAGCCACCCCCGCCCCTCATTCCGCCATTGATGAATTTGGGCGAAGTGCAGCTGCGTGCAGTTTGGAGACCGCGTTGTCCCAGCCCAAGCAGCCCTCGAAGAAGTGTCTGCTAAGACTCAACCCCGACATGAAGAACATATTAACCCTGTGCCTGGAGTGTTCGTCATTCGCGAAACAAGCAACATCACCAACGTCCACGCCGTCATCGTGGGACCGGACAACACACCGTACCAGGGAAGCATTTTCCATTTCGTGCTCAAGTTCCCCCTCGACTACCCGGCCAGTCCCCCTCAGGTACACTTCATGACGAGTGACGGCGGAAGGGTGCGCTTAACCCGAACCTGTACAGCGGTGGGCTCGTCTCACTCAGCAATCTAGGCACGTTTCACGGACCCTCATGGAACCCGGAGATGACCATCCAGACGGTGCTTGTTTCGATCCAGTCGTTGCTTATCGAGCAGCCTTTGGCGAACGAACCGCCACGCCGCAGTGGTCTAGTGGCTAAGGTACTCGGCTGCTGACCCGCGGGTCGCGGGATCGAATCCCGGCTTCGGCGGCTGCATTTCCGATGGAGGCGGAAATGTTGTAGGTCCGTGTGGTCAGATTTGGGTGCACGTTAAAGAACCCTAGGTGGTCGAAATTCCCGGAGCCCTCCACTACGGCGTCTCTCATAATCATATGGTGGTTTTGGGGCGTTAAACCCCACATATCCATCATCATTTGGCGAACGAACCTGCATTGGGACGCGAGTTGAACTTGGCTCGAAAAGACGACCGATTACAACGCCAAACAGCACTTCCAGATCCTCAGGGTCGTGATTTCCGACGCACTCGAGGCCTGCCCATATACTCGGCAACTCGTCGTACCCGGAGGTCCTGCAGCACGCTGTGGCGAAGCACTTCGTAGAATAGTATGCCAAGTACGAAAGTGCAGCCCGCTCCAAACTTGGCGAAGACTCAAGTGTAGAGGAATCTCGGCAGTATCAAGTGCTACTCGAGCGACTGAACGACTTGTATGGTCAAATACTGCAAAACAACCCAACAATGAGGAAAATGTATGAAAGCGACTACAAGGGCATCTTGAACATCTAAGGCTCATTGGGACTTTTTTAGAGCATACTAGATACCGGTGCGATACTGCGAGATCAACGTCGTATATTTCGCGGACACGCTTAAAAATGTTAGCAAACAGTTAATTAACCATTGGCATAGCCAAAAACATTTTCAAGAGGGAGGGTCACACTGACCCCACCGGAGAGGGAGGTTGGAGCAGGCTCGTGCCTGAGTCCCCCCCTCCTACACTCCCGGTCTCTGTGACGTGACTACCACCGGTAGTTTAAGCAGATTGTGTTTTTGTATATCACAGTCATGAGACTCCCCCGTCCCATGCCTATATGCCTGGGAAGATAGGATTAAGTAAATAATAAAAGTAAAGTAATCACTGTAAAGTACAGTAAACGACAGGTACAGTGGGGCATTTTGATTAAGGCCTCTCATCGCACCATTTACTGAAATAGTCTTTGAAAACGAATCATTGCGACGTGTACTCAACTATTCTTTCAAGTCAATGATGGCACTGTTTGATGCGGAATGAGAGGTAAACGCAGCTTGTTTTTTTCACATTAATAATTGATTTTCGCTTTCGCTTATTTCCTGAGCGAATTTATTACTGTTGATGTTCATGACTGCACGCCTATGGGAATACTTTTTTTTTATTTTGAGCTCTATATGTCAAGCAGCCCTGACGTAGTGAAAGCTTTTCGTCAACATTTCTTACTTTACTGCGTGCATCCAAATATGCTTGCAATACGCAATAAGTAATCGTTTTTGTAAGTTATGCGGCACATTGACAACACGATTTCGCATGCGTTATTTTTCGGGTAGACTTTATCGCCCCTTTTGTTGACTATAGGGCTCCCTGTGACTTTCGATAGCAATGAAGTAGTCCAATCGTAGAGGTATTGTCGTGCAATCTGCCAGGGCAAGGTAATTACTGTTGAGCAATGTTTACTTAGTCTGAAACGAAAATGCACCTGGGACCAGACTATGCATACTCACCTAGAAATAGCTTGTTCGCTGCGTGCACCCGCCAGTAAACCTAAATACGCGCAAAAACGTATGATGTTCTCTTTTTTGGTGTTTTCATAACTCCCGTCACTCTACTCCCTGAAACGACAGCATTCCGGCAAAGTGCCTTCTGTTCTTAGGAAGCCTACGTCAAGATATTGAAAAATGTACATATATGTATATCACCGTGCATCAGTGATATGCCATGTATACACTCTTCTAACAAGAAGCGTATTCATGTTTGCAGCGCTTACGCTGGCGCGAAAAAAAGCAGCCTCGTGCCACACAAATTCTTGATTGGTCGGTTCACTAATGACGAAGGAATGAACTCCGGTTTCGTTTAGAGCATAGTGCACCATAATCAATTTCTCAGAATGCGTGAACTCTGACGACAATTGCACAACTGCCAGCACACGCAACTTGTTTACCTAATTAATGCCTGTTGGTTGTCTGTTTCAGGCAATCTCATGCGAGTCGCTGTAATTTCATTGCTCGGTCAATTCTGTGAGCGGTTTTACAATGCATCGGCACGCCTTGAAGATGCATTTTCCTTCAGCCCTTTTCCTTTGTTTCTTCCATTCTTTCCCCCGTTCCCTACTCCCGAGTCTGCCACTCTTCCCAATGCCGAGGAGTTTTCTGACGTGTGCTCGAACAATATGTCAACATCGGCATACCGGCTGCGAAAAAGAAGTGAGAGAAGTGAGAAACCTTAGCATGTCTGCGATGCATAACGTTGCCAATTACCCAAAAGTATTGTTCCCAAACGTGCACTATCTGTTAAAGATTCTCGCGACTCTGCCCGTCAGCCCAGCTGAAGCGGAACGTTCTTTTTCATCGCTGATACCTCTAGGGATTAGACCTGAGAGCTACAACAACAAATGAAATATTGGTTGACATCGCTCTTTTATACATTCACCGAGAAATACAAGTCTGCCCGGAAGAAATAAGACAGTGATGGTATACCGGGCTTACCGGGATACCTGGCGAACCGTGATAGCGCATCTAAGTGCACATGTGCAGATACGTACGTTTCCCTTACCGATTAGCATACGCGCTGTTTTTCAGCTTCAACCTTACCATGTTAGCGTTGGTGTACGTAGTGTACGTAAAAGAACGCGAGGCTCTCGAACGCCCGCTTCGATGTGATTTTTGTGTATAGTTGTTGAAGGATTCACATTGTTCGCAGCAAACGACTGTTTAAAGTGGCTTCGATCGCCTTCAGTTAGCTTCGATGACTGAGTACTACGAATAAGTTAGTGTAGTTTTGAGACAGCTTCCCATTTCGATATTGTCAAGGCCTAACTATATACAAGATGGATGTATACAAACGGGCAACATAGATTTTTTCGCATTTGATGCATGTCTCATATTTATTTACTTTCATTATTACTAAAATAAACTTCTTCAAAT